GAAGGTAGATTCGTGATATAAGATCAAAAATGAGTAGAGAACACTTACCCCAAGTTGTGTTAAAAATCTCCTCTCCAAAGTCGCCCAATCCGAGCTCTAAAATCCTAAAATGAAGATAAAAACCAAAGACCTCGAGTTATAGATTCTGCCCAGCGATTTCCATATTTGCGGACAATTCGTCGCACATGCGACCACCGGTTTTGCGGAAAAACATCGCATCTGCAAAAAATGGCCTTGTCCAGCAATCTCTGCACCTGCGGTATCAAACTCCGCATCTGCGAAGACACTCGCACCTGCGTTTCCACTCGATGCACATGCGCATCCGCACCTGCGCCCTTTTCTCCGCTTCTGTGGGCCTCCTCATCCAGCTCTCATCTAGCATCTACGATGCCTTTGTCACTTTTGCGGCCATTGCACCTGCTCAAACCAACCGCAGGTGCGATCATACCAGAACCAGCAACCTTTAGCAATGCAACAAGAAGTGAAAAAGATCTGAACCTCGTCCAAAACTCATCCGAGCCACTCGGGACCCCGTTCGAATATACCAACAAGTACCATAATGCAATACAGACCTACTCGAGTCCTCAAAACACATATAACAATATAAAAATGATTAATCACACCTCAAATCGAAATCTATGAACTTTGAACTTTCAAATTCAATAACTCGTGCCGAAACATAGCAAATAAATCCGGAATGACTTTAAATTTTGCACACAAATCCCAAATAACATAACGAAGCTATTCAAATTCCCGAAATCACAATCCGAATTCGATATCAAAAAGTCCATTCCCGGTCAAACTTTCCAAAAACCCAACTTTCGCCATTTCAAGCCAAATTCTACTACGGACCTCCAAATCACAATCCGGACGTGCTCCTAATTCCAAAATCACCCAACGGACCTACCAGAACCATCAAAACTCCGTTCCGGAGTTCAAATTTATAAAAAGTCAAACTTAGTCAACTCTCCCACTTTAAAACTCCCTAGTTGATAATCATTCTTCCAAATCAGTCCCGAATAACCTGAAAACCAAAACTAATAATTCACACAAATCAAAATACATTATACGGAGCTACTCACACCCGTAAACTACCGAGCGAAGTGCAAATGCCTTAAATGACCGGTTAGGTCGTTACATTCTCCCCCACTTAAACATACGTTCGTCCTCAAACGTGTCCATAGTTGTTCTCAAAGCCATCAAACCGCCGTATAACCTTGCCATGCACATACCCGGGGGTGATCCTATGTCACCCTAACCCATACAGGTCCGATAACACAACATAACTGATATTTCTCAATTCAACCTAGCCCACAAGCCTTAGAATCTAACTTCTAACATCCGAAATTTCTTATAAGATCTGAATCTCACAACCTACACCATGTATAAGTCTGAACAAGTTGTACCAAGCCACAACCATAACCCAAGATACAATTGCATGATATATCACATAAAACAGATACTCAAAGCAATGATTTCTAATCACAGTAGCTGCTCAAAACAACCCAATGCCGGTAATAAACCTCATATCAAACAAGACTCCATTCTGAAACATGCGTACACTACCGATGATGAAAGGAACACGCAGAAACTCATAACCATTCATCAGATCAACCAGTCATGGAACTCCCTCTCCTTCGACAAGAACTATAGCAAATTTCTAAGATGACTTTCGACATTATCCTTCCAACCATGCCGTAATCTATTCTGATAGTATCCATTATAGGTCTAATGACCTCATCTCATCCAACACGACCACTCTAGTAACATGACACATCAATACAATCTAAAGCCATAGCCCGTGCAATCCGTGCTCCAATAAGCAACATTCCAAATATATTCAATCCTGAAAAAAATGATTCAGACGAGAGAACTGTCCCACAAGCTCAACGAGTACCACCACAACGCAATGCTAAGAATCTATCACACACCGTAGAACCAAAACACACGAATCTAACACAAGGGATCATATCTCAACATAACTCCGCTACAATGCATGTCACATCCAAACATTGGTTCATATGAAATACCTCAGCCCCCATGCTCAAAATCAATAACCACGCTCGATCCGATATCAAGTACTCTAAGTGCATTACCATAACCATGAAGAAGCAGATGACACAATGCCACACAAAACCCAAAAGAACATAACTTATACGCCATCGACCATGCAATACCCAATTACTCATCTCGCTCAAATTCCGCTATAAAGCCCAAATAGAACTGCACCAGGTGTGCTTATAACCAACGAATCACAACTCCGCGTAGTATAGAAGTGTAACTCATAGATTGTTTCAGAACACGAATAAGCTCAACAACAACCGAATGGTATATCCCTACCGGAACCATCAAAACTCCGTTCCTGGTTCAAATTTATAAAAAGTCAAATTTGGTCAACTTTTCCACTTTAAAGCTCCCTAGTTGAGAATCATTCTTCCAAATTAGTCTCGAATAACCTGAAAACCAAAATCAACGATTCACACAAATCAAAATACATCATACAGAGCTACTCACGCTCGTAAACTACCGAGCGAAGTGCAAATACTCAAAACGACCGATTAACTCGTTACATTAAGGATCATTGTACCTTTTCAAGTAGTATATGTTTTATATTCGTAGATTTTCATTTCTACTCTTCACGCTCATTAAAGTTGTATAAAAACAATTTAGTGTCAAACATTCTAGGATCTTTTTTACCAAAAAGAAATACTCTCTCTCTGCTACTAGGTGTGTCAATGGTTCGGTTCGATCGATTATTTTATAAAATTTATATCATATCAATTCTTTTGATTATTTAATCATGCATAACCAAAATTAGACTTTTCGATACTGTCCCAATCATATCGGTTTCTCTTCGGTACGGTTCCGTTAATTTTTGATATTTTTTTAAAGTCATGTAAAAGTCACTAGTAAAAGTAGAATGCAATAACAAACGTACTTTTATCGGACTTAGTAAAATTCTCTAGACATTTTTATTGTTCAAAGGGTGATGAATTAAGAAAATATGAAAGATGGCTAGAGTTAGATCCATCATCTATTCTACAATAGTATAAAAGAAACTAAATAAAGATAAAGAAAATATAAATCACACGAGTGAAAAGATATTACCCAAGTTGGGACTCAAGAATAAAGTCTATGGAAGATTAAATATTCAATAAAATAAATTTAAGTCATACGAAAGGAAACATATTCAATACATTATAGTTTGCTACTCATAACGACTAGAATAGCTTATGTCTTGCTATTGAATAAGGGTGTCAATGGTTCTGTTCGACCGATTATTTTATAAAATTTATACCATATCAATTTTTCGGTTATTCTATTATGTATAATTAAAATTAGACTTTTCAAAACTGTCCTAATCATGTCAGTTTCTCTTCGATATCGGTACGGTTCGGTTAATTTTCGGTATTTTTTTTAAATGTCATATAAAAGTCATCAGTAGAACTAGAATGCAATAACATATGTTCTTTTATAAGACTTAACAAAACTCTCTAGAAATTTTTATTATTTAAAGGGTAATAAATTAAAAAAACATAAAAGATGGCCAGAGTATAGATCCATCAACTATTCTATAGCAACGTAAAAGAAACCAAGCAAAGACAAAAAAAATATAAATCACACGTGTGGAAAGATATTAACCAAACTGAGACTCAAGAATAAAGTCTATAGAAGATTAAATATTCAAAAAGATAAATCTAAATTATATGAAAGGAAACATATTCAATACATTGTAGTTTGCTAGTCATAATCACTAAAATACTTTGTGTCTTGCTAATGAAGATGCTGGAAATAACTTAGTTTAAATAGAAGTAGCATAATAGGTTTAGGAATTAATATTTTAAGTTAAATTACTCGTTGACTTGTAACCGTTTTCATAATTCCAAGGTCCAAAGAAAAATTTAATGCTTTATTATTTTTTAAACTTACTATATAAATATATTTTCCATATGTAAAGTTTATTCGGTACAGTTCAGTCGGTTTAGTCGATTTTAAATATCCATTGACACTCCTACTATTGAATGTGCCGGAAATAGTTTAGTTTCAACAAGAGTAGCATAATATGTTTGGAGATTGGAATTTTGAATTTTAATTACTTGCTGGCTTATACCGTTTTCATAATTCCAAGATCCAAGGAAAAATTTAATATTTTATTATTTTTAAACTTATATATAAAGATATTTTCCACATGTATATTTATTCGGTATAGTTCAGTATTTTTTTTAATTTATTTTTATAAAATTATAAAATCTACCATAATTATCGGTACAATTATAGGTTTATATAAAAATATACGATTTTATTAAAAGAAACCTAAAAATTCATTCGGTACGGTACAATAAGATTCGGTCGGTTTAGTTGATTTTTAAATATCCATTGACACCCATATCTGCTACCCTTATAGTTGTTATATATATCCCAAAAATAATTGTTCCCAAGTACTTGTCATTTTAAAAGATTAAGAGGGCATTAATATTTTTTTCTACTTTACCATTAGTATTAATTATTCTAGAATTAAGAGGCATGCAAATCGATAAAGATTAAAGAATTAATAAAGGATAAATTAGTCAAATTACTCTTATTGTTAATACATATTTTTTATAAGCTTGTAGAACCTTATCCTGACAAACAAACGGAGCGATTCGAAGAGAATTAAACTTAGAAGCTAAAATAATAATTTACTTGCTACTCCATATTTTATTAGTGACAATGAAAATAATATTTAAGCGACTTCAAAAAAGTAGTTTACCACTTGAACAATTTTCTTTTGTCAAAGACTTTTATTTGTGATTTAAAATAAGTCATAGACACTTATATTGTTATAAAATAAAAATTTTAAAGTTAAATTATTTTTAAATATAAAAATATATCTTTTTTTTTTTTTGGATAGATTTAAGAAAAAGTGTACCACATAAAAGACTATTATTAACTATTTTCTATTTAAAAGAAAAAATTAAAAAGAGTAATATAATAGTGGATTAAAAAGAGTTTATATGAGGGGAGTCACTAGGTGAGGTCCAAAGTCTGCAACTTAAAGGGAAAACTTTTTGATGCATACCACGTTGGAAAGCTCTTCAACTTGGGTGGGCGGAGATTACGGCGGAGTTGGTGGTGCCACTGGCAGTTTCTGGCGATGTGAGAACCCCTCGGAATGGAAAAAGACTAATCTACCGTTCTTCAGATCTCTACATTCTTGAGCTTTCTCTCATCAAATATTATAGGAGTAATTTTTTGCAACTCATTTCTCAGGGTTTTTTTTCCTTCTTCTTTCTCTTCCCCCCTATTTCAGACCCATTTTTGGTTTTTGTTGGTGTGTTTCTTTCTGTTTGAAGTTTGGAGTTTTCATTCCAGATTTAACGTTTTCATCTTTTTTTGGCCTTTTTCTCCTCCTCTTTTTTTTTTTTTTTTTTTTTTTTTTTTTTTTTTTTTTTTTTTTTTTGTTGTCTTTTTTCTCATTTCATGTTAAGGATCTGAAGCCCATTTTTTGTATTTCTGTTTTGTATTAATTTGCCTTTGTGGTGTATTAATGTTGCTCAATTTTTGAACTGGGAACAGTTTAATTTCTAATAAGTTTTGATTTTGATTTTGATTTTGATTTTCCTATTCTTGAGCTGTGGTAGAAATTGTGCAAATATCTATTTGCCTTTGTGGAGACAGGTATTTTGAATTGTGGGTGTTTTATTAATGCTTAACTTTTGAATTTGTAACAGTTATCTTGTAATAAAGTTTTGAATTTTAGTCTAGAGCTGTGCTAGAAATTGAGCAAATAGAGTTTTTTTTTTCCATGTACATTGGAATGATTTGGACCCAAATAGAATGAAATGGTGCGGAGGATCCATATAGCCGGCCCCGACTTTGTTTGGGATTAAGGCGTAGTTGATGAGTTATTGATAAAGGCTAAACCTTGTAGTGTCAGATCTTCTAGTTCTAGTTAAAAACAGTTTATGTTGTCAAAAGTAGTAAATTCTTGAAAGTTTTTCTTGATAAGCAGGAATATGATGGTTGAACCGGGCCAAAGTAATTCTCATTTTCACTGTTCTAAATGTTGAAGGGGAGCCTTGGCGTAACTGGTAAAGTTGCTGCCATGTGACCAGGAGGTCACGGGTTCGAGCCGAGAAAATGGCCTCTTGCAAAAATGCAGGGTAAGGCTGTGTACAGTAGACCCTTGTGGTCCAGACCTTCCTCGGACCCCGCTCATAACGGGAGCTTAGTGCACCGGGCTGCACTATTCTAAATGTTTTTTGATTGTTCTAAACTTTTTGCCATTCCATTGTAGGAAAGGCTTGTTAATGTGATAAATAGAGATGTCGTTCAAGAGCATTGTCCGTGAGCTGAGAGAGATGAAAGATGGGATAGGGAGTATATCAAGGAGGGGAATGGAAGGAAGGCGTTGGCGAAACAGAACCCGATCACATATAGCACCTGAAGTGTCACATTTTGATCCTGATCAACAAGGCCAATGGGCAAATTTACCATCAGAATTGCTATTGGATATTATCCGCAGGGTTGAAGAGAGTGAGACGTCGTGGCCTGCTCGGACCGTTGTAGTCTTTTGTGCTTCTGTTTGTAAGTCATGGAGGGAAGTTACTAAAGAAATTGTCAAGACTCCCGAGGAATGTGGTAGGCTTACCTTTCCCATTTCACTGAAGCAGGTATTTTCCTTAATCCATTCGATGATTATCTTATTCCTATTGCCGCTTACAAAAAAGTAAAACCGAGAGATCATTCTTTTTCTGTTTCTGCTTTGTAACAGCCGGGTCCCCGTGAATCCCCAATTCATTGCTTTATAAAGCGGGACAGAGCTAATTCAGTTTATCGCCTCTACTTCGGTTTGACTCCATGTAATTCACACGTTTCTGTTGACCTTTCTCCTTTTCTTCTTTGACACTTTAATATTACCAGAGCATCTTCAATGATTGTATGCCTTGTAATCAGCTTTAAGATCTACCTACATAGTTGATCAGTGAACGAAATTTGTCTTCTAAAGTTACGAGTTTGTTCTATGATTCTACTGCCTTGGAACCAGCTTCAAGATCCACCTTGTGAACTTAACCTATGAATGAAGCTAAGATTATAAGTTTCTATAACATTTATGTTGGTGGATAATTTTTGATTGGTATTTGGATGGATAACTTCTCGAGAAAAGCCTCTCTACCCCACCTCCCCCTCCCAAGATAGGGGTAAGGTCTGCGTGCACTTTACCCTCTCCAGACCCCACAATGTGGGATTACACTGAGTATGTTGCTGTTGTGATTGTTGTTGTATTTTGATGGATAACTTAGACTTAGGTTGATAGAAGACATTGTTCAAGTTAATATGCAGAACGAGAATTGTGAAACTTTTTTATAGCTTCTTCTTAGTGTTGGTGGTCTAATGTTCTCACATCTGATGTGTTACTTCATGACAGCTGAAGATGAAAGCGATAAGCTATTGCTGGCTGCCAAAAGGACCAGAAGGGCAACAAGCACAGAATTTGTAATTTCATTGGTTGGGGACGATTTTTCTCGAGCTAGCAGTACATATGTTGGAAAACTGAGGCAAGTTTCCACATACTGTTAAATTATTTCCATAGCGTATACCTCACCGTCCTTCAGAATGTTGAAAAAAGAAAAACTTGTATTTCCTTTCATTTTGTTTTAATAGTTTACGAAATAATTTTACCAGATCTAACTTTCTTGGGACCAAGTTCATCGTATATGATAGCCAACCTCCAAGTGATGCAGCGATTCAACATTGCGGTCAACTTAGTCGACGATTCAGTGTGAAGCAAGTTTCTCCGACAGTACCTGCGTGCAACTACAGTGTCGCCACCATTAACTATGAACTCAATGTTCTCCGAACAAGAGGACCTAGGAGAATGCATTGCGCCATGCATTCTATCCCTTTCTCCTCTATACAAAAGGGAGGCAGCGCTTCAACACCTAAATCATTCCCACAATCTTTTGACGAGAAGTCATTTCCCCCACCAGTCTCAAAATCAAAGGAGCCAATTGTAGATATCAGCTTGCCTGGCTTTTCAAGCTCAACGATGTCACTGCTTTCTCGAGAGCCACTCGTGCTAAAAAACAAGGCCCCTAGATGGCATGAACAATTGCAGTGCTGGTGCCTAAATTTTAAAGGTCGCGTTACAGTGGCGTCTGTGAAAAACTTTCAGCTAGCGACAGCAGTTGATCCTTCTCAGAATATACCAGTTGCAGTACAAGAAACAGTAATATTGCAATTTGGCAAAATCGGAAAAGATATCTTCACCATGGATTACTGCTACCCGCTATCTGCCTTCCAAGCTTTCGCAATCTGCTTGAGCAGCTTTGACACGAAACCAGCATGCGAATGATTTCGTGCAGAATGTAATTCATGATAATTTTTGTCTCTTGGTTTCTGGATAATGTTCTGAATTGATGTTTATATTTCTCTGAGAAGTTGCCAATGCGCCGCAATATTTATGAATGAGAATATCAATATATACATGCAGTATATATCTAACAGTTTGATTTAAATACTTTTCCTGGAAAGTAAATCTATTCTTGTTAATTTGTGTCATTAAGATCAGGAACATATTTTGATGTAATCCTGGTTTGAGATATAGATAGAAAATGATCTAAATTCAGCTCAATCCAATTTGCATTTTATTGTTTTCAAAAACAGGTTGATCAGGAAAAAATAATTAAAAAAAAGAAAAGAAATTAAAAGGTTGACCAGGATTTTGTCATTCTTTGTTGAATAAATTCACTGGCATTCTAGTATATTAATACAGCTTATAATGCTAAATATTGTATGATGTATCTAATTTATGACATGTATACTGCTTGTGATCCTCCACCTTGAGGCTTTAGTGTAATGGTAAGAGCACACAGTATTTCTAATAGGAGCAATTCAAGCATTAATTAGTACTACCTCAGATCTAAAAGGAAAGGAAGAAGAATAAGGGAAGGTGCCAAGTAGCTGATTGCACATTACTAAGGCAAGGAATAAGACGTCTGAGAAGGGATGCCGAAAAAAGGCTTCAATTGTTTCTGGTGCAAAGTCAGTAGTACTAGGGCCTTCGAGTTGGAATTTCCAACTATAAACAAGTGTAGCGAAGTCACCTCCATTCTCGATTTCTATTGCGACAGAGGGAGGTATCATAATAGAGTAAAAATCACGATTAGAGTCAGTCCGGATAAAAGGAAGAATCCAATCTCCTTCTTCCTNGAGGCAGGGCTTCGACCCGTATCTGGCCAACTCCTCGAACTGCTGGGTGCGGCATATTCATGGACTGGCAAAGCGAACTCTCAATTTGATCAGGAGAGCCTAGGGAGCTCTCTATCTTTTCCCAAATTCCGACTAGCGCGGTTCTTTTTCTCGACCAATTTGAATTCCATTTCATTTTTTATTTTAAGTGTTGTAGAGTAGTAAGTAGTGATGTGTTGGTTAGGGACACGTTATGGGCTCGAAAGTCGAAAGTCGAACATTGTCCCAGACAAGACAAAATCATGATATTTAAATAGAGAAGAATAAAATAAAAGATTTATTATTTACCGAGTTTTGAATTGCGTGTGTTAGCCCTCGAAGATTTCTCAATTATAAGAAAAATGTATACTTGTGGCCATCCTATTGTCAGCTGGATGCCCTGGTTCTTGTATTGTTGATTTGTTGGGATAACGGTGGAAACTTTACATTTGTTTATTTTTAACTATCGTTGGATCGAACGATTTAAGAGAGTATATCCCGTTATTTTCAACTAGGTTGTCTTAGGTACTGACGTTAGTGTTTGACCAAAAAGTATAACTTTCGGTTAAATATTTATATTTATGTAATGATGAGTACATAGATCTTGAAAATACAGATAATATGGGGCTGATCCAGTGGGGGATAAATAATATCGTGCATTAAATACTCCAAAAATATGAACAATAATGGAGGAGTAACTAGCAATAAATAACAATAAATGACATTTAAGTAAATGGAAGGAATGATTCACCCAATAATGAATAAGTTAGATGATTGTTCCTCCTGGCAGTGATGCGTGACAGATAAATACGAGAATGTTCGAATTATTCTCGGATCTGATGGAAAAGCCTAGAATAATATGAGCAAGAAAGTTGATAAAAAGGTAATGTTTGTATCGTTGCTAAAGAGAAAAAGAGAATCTTCTTCTGAAAAGTGTTCTTGTCCCGTGAATATTACATGCATTTCTTCCTTATCTTTTTTCTTTATTTATTTGAGACATGTCTCTAATAAACCCTAATAGTACAAGTGCAGAGAATATTCACTCTTTAATATCTTATTTCAAAAAATAGTCGTTACTGTTTTGTCAACGGTGCTCGACTTCGGTCATTGTTGAAATCTCGGCCACGAATCTCGCTGCTCCCTGACCGACCTAGACTAACTTTTTCCTTAATGCTATATTACCCTAAATATTCTAGGACAGATTTTGACCTATATAGTTTGTCCCTCCACTTATTGAGGCCGGCCTCAGGCGGGCTCGATGAGCGGATATTGTGTAACGTGGCCGAAGCATTTGGACGACCTGAACGAGTCGTGAAGATTGGTGCGAGTGGGCAGCGTGTTCCTTTATGAACCATAACTTATGGGGTTATATGTCCCACGAATCAGGATGACGTCATGGCGACATGCGTCATTATGACGTGATTTCCCGATACGTTGCTTCGTTTCGCGCTCGTTTTCTGATTGATTCTGTCGCTTCGGTTACAGTGCCAGGTAATGATGGATTAATTCATTGGTTTCGACGCTTGAATTTTTATAAATAGGGGTATGTGGGTAACGTTTCAATCTTTACGAAACCCTTGCATCAAAAAACCTCGTATGTTCTTCTTCCTCCCCCATTGTTGTGTCTCTTATTATCAAAATCCTTGGCCTCCTTCTTCTTCCTCCATTGTCGCGTATCTTCTTACTGGTTTTAGTGATTCTCGCGGCTTCTAACACTTCTTTACTTGAATATCCTCCCTTAATCAACGTGGCTAATGTACCCTCTGTTTCCAGTATGGCAACTCACCCTGTCCCTTTGGCGGTGCTTATACCCCCTCACATTGATAGGGTCTCTGTCGCCATTGAGGAAGAGAATTTTCCTACGGTGGAGGAAATAATCCCTCGTAGTGAGAAAGTTAGGTCCGATTTATCGAAGGAGCGTGAAGGTGAGCCCGAAGTCTCGGAGTCAGTGATGGAAAAGGCCGATCTGGCCGAGCTTAGGGAAAAATTCAACATTCCTGCCCACATCGATCTGGTCCCAGCAGGGCGCGATGTGGTGCAAATCCACTGACATGGATACTGCGCATTCTATGCGTATCCTTTCCAGGTCGGCTATACTCTCCTCCTTCTCCATTGGCGGAGGAATTTTGCCGCTATTACGGTGTCTGCCCGACCCAACTCTCTCTGTACATTTACAGCTTATTAGGATGCTCTCAAAATTCGCCGAGTTGGCTCAGGTCGAGGTCACACTCTGTCATCTGATGCATCTCTTTGCCCTTAGCTTTTATAGGAGGATAATGTTGCATCTTCGCCACCGAGAAGGTAAATACATGGTGGTGAAGATGGATGACAAAGCAAATCGTCAGTTCTGGCTCAACTACTTTTTTGTCAGAACCGAAGAAGTAGTAGCCAATGCGGATGACTTTCTTGAGACTTGGAATCACGCTCGTAAGTATCCATTTTTTGTGAAAGGTATTTGATTTGTCTATTTCTAGTCGTAGGCTCTAACATTTTGTCTCTTCCTCGTACAGCCAAGGTTGCGCCTCCTCTTTTGGTCGGGAACATTTCTGATTGGGTTGGACGGATTCTACCTCACACTGTGGGGATTCGTGAGTGGCCGGGCTTTCTCTAGAAGTTCGGGACTGCGTCTTCCTTGGCCGGTGAGTTCGTCTTTTTTTTTTGTTTTCTATTTTGACCTCATGGTCGCTTACACGCTATAGTTTATTATTGGTAGTGACAACCTTCGATCTTTCTTTTTCAGTTCGAGAATCTTTGAGGAGGCCGAGGGCCCCTCCTCCTACGTTTCGTAATAGGAAGGCTACTTCTTCTTCGGAGTCTGTTCCTGCTGTGACCGCGACTAGGCCTGCTCGGTCATCTACTTTTGTTCGTTCTTCCGCCACGGCCAGGTCTACTCGTTCGTCAACCGCACCTACTGCTACTTCCGTATCGGCTTCCTCTCCATCCGCGGATATATCGACATCGGAGCTTCCGACTTCCCCTTTGCTTTATCTAGTGGACGAGGAAGAGGAATCGTTGCCGAGTGATGGGAATTTGGTTCCCCGCAAGAGAATATTGGTGGACGTCGGTGATGGGGTTGATTTTGTCATCCGTGAAATGGAGACCATAGATCTTGAAGATGACGTCGAGTTATCGCCCGTGGTTCCGCCATCGACTGAAGCCGTAGAGGGTATGTCTCTTCCTGAAACCATGATGGAAGCTGAAGGGCCATCGACGAGAGTCTCTGATAATTTGTGGCAAAATGAGCTATCTGCCTCGCGACCGGCCGAAGGTCCTTCTTCGCTGGCCAACATAAAAGGAAAGTGCGTAGCCGAGGATGTCTATGAGACGGGCTCCGATGTTGATGCCGATGAGGTGAGGATGATGGGGGAGGGATTTACCCGACTCAAAGTAAGATTAGAGAGGTCCACGCGGACCATGGAGATCCCCATGGATCAAGATTTGTTGGTTAACACGGAGAACGTGGTCCCCTCAGTTCCGATGTGGAGGGTAAAACCCTTGAAAAGCTGGATGATGCTACCTTATCTAGGAGCATAGTCGGCCTCGCTCTCAGGGTAAGCTTTTCGACCTCTTTCATTTTTGTTTGTCAAGTTCAAAGTTTGTTTCTTTCATACTCTCCGTTTCCGTTTTCTCTCTTCCAGACAGTGATTTTGGAAATTGAAAGCGCTCGAAGAGAGGAGAGGCGTAAAGCTATTTTTTTAAAGATGGAGCGAAAATACCGCGAGTACCGTTGTAAGTATCACAAGATTTGTAGGCGGTTTGGCGAGGGCGGAAATATTTGAGCTCTCCGAGAGGAGCTGAAGGAGAAGGATGATGAGCTGGTGAAGGTCATCAAAAAATGCAGCGCTCTTGAGGAGGCGCTAAATGACAAATAAGAGGAACTACAGGTTAGTAGGGAGTCAAAGCCCAGTGCGACGATCTCCAAGCCCATGTGGTCTCGTTGCGCGCCGAGTTCGAGGAGTGTGAATTCAAAGCTGATGCTTTAAGTAGTGAGGTCTCCGAGAGGGCAGCGGATCTCGAGAATGTGGAGTTAGCTCGGTCAGGGGCTATGAGGAAGATGGAGGCTTTGGAGATCATAATCCGTTTTCTTCGTTCCAAGCGAGAGAATGCCTTGGACACGGCCAGACTCAAAGAAGAGCGGCTTGATGAATGGATTGGAGAATTAGAGAAAGAGGCTTCTGGCTTTTGTGATCGAGTCGCCGCTCCGGAGGCCGAGAAGGCACAATTATTGGCTCGACCATCCTCTTCCCATGTTTCTAATTTCCCTGATGTTCCTC